CAGAATGAATTCAGCTGAGCATTCTTTTTCTAATTCAGGGCTATAATCATCCCAATAAATACCTTTAAATGCTATGGTGCATTTATAGGAGGATTTCCCCCATTCGCTCAGAATTTCATGCTGCTTTCTGAAAAACCAACCTACGGTTTTCAGAGACACGGTACTTAGTCAGAGTAGGAAATTGGCTCTTCTGAACATTCCCATTTTTTTTTCCCCCAAAGGGGTTCGACCTGTTGGAGATATTGGCTGACAGCCAATCTTCTGTCAGTATAGAAGAGCTCCAAAAAACATCAGATGCATCATGCTGACCATTTCTTTTTAAGAAAAAAAAAAATACATAAACACAGTCAGGCATCAGGGGGTGGGGAGGTGGGGAAACAGCATTGAGAAAATTTCCTTTTGTTCTTTTACGATATAGGCATCAAAAAATGTTTAACCTGCAAGGAGGCTCACAGTGGCATAGCGCCTCCTGGCTTCTTTCAAGATTTCGAAACAGAAGTGGGCCATTTCCAAATACGACAAAACTAAAGCAACGTATAGTAAAGTAGATTCAGAGACTCCCAAATTGGCTTTTCTTTGTAATAAGTGACAGGTGGAAGGGGACAGAATATTTCCGGCAAATTCCCAGTTGACTGCCTTGGTTAGGACGGTTCTGCGTTTCCTCTCTTTTTAATCTATGTTAAAGAGAGAACCAACCTAGAAGTAAGGACAGGGGTGGGCTTCAAAAATTTTAGCAAGGGGTTCTCTGCCTGGTTGCTCGGTGGGCGTGGCCTAGTCGGCTTCCTGCACCATGGCGGGGAGTGGGGGCTTTTTGCCCTCCCCGAGCTCCAGAGGCTTTTCTTGAGCCTCCTGGAGGGGAAAAACAGCCTCCCCAGGCTCCAGAGGCCCTCTGGAGGCTGGAAACAGGCCTGTTTCCAGCCTTCCCTAACTTCCAGTAGGCCTGTTTTTTTGACCTCCCCGAGCCTCCGCGCGCACCCTGCACTTACCTGCATCCAAAACGGGCCGCGTGGGGACTCCTGGGAGGGGTGGGGCCAGCCAGGAGTGGGATTTGGGGGCTTTCCGAACTGCACAGAATCTTAGCTAGGGGTTCTCCCGAACCCCTGCGAACCCCCTGAGCAGCCCACCCCTGAGTAAGGAGATATTTTTTGACAGTGAGAATGATGAATCAATGGAACGACTCGTCTCCAGAAGTAGTGGGTGCTACAACACTGGAGGGTTTTAAGAAGAGATTGGATAGCCATTTGATCGGGATGATATAAGTCCGTGATGGCGAACTTATGGCATGGGTGCCACAGGTGGCACATGGAGCCATATCAGTGGGCACGCGAGCATTGCCGTAGCTCAGCTCCAGCGCACATGTGTGCGCCGGCCAGCTGATTTTGGGGCCTTCTGGTCCTACTAGAAGTTGGGAAATGGGCTGTTTCCGGCCTCCAGAGGGCTTCCGGGGAGATGGGGAAGGCTGTTTTCGCCTTCCCCAGGCTCCTAGAAAGCCTCTGGAGCCTAGGGTGGGTAAAAAATGGGCCTACCGGGCCCCCTATGCCATCATGTGCTAAAAGGGGGGGGCACATGCGCAAGGGTGGGTGCACTAAATTATGGGTATGGGCACAAATATGGGCGACCTCGCCGCGCTCCCCCCGCTTTTGGCACGCAACGGCAAAAAGGTTAGCCATCACTGATATAAGGTGTCCTGCCCTGAACAGGGGGTGACTCTGAGATCTCTGAGGTCCCTTCCAGTCCTATGATTGCATGTTCTATGCAACAAAAGGATTTCTTATTGCGTTTTCCCATGGCTCTCACTTCTCCTTCACTGATTATATCTCGCCCTGCAAACAAAGAGCACAAGCAAATTGGTCCCAGTCACCTTCCCCTCTGCATAAATCCTGTATAAGATTCATGTGCAAGGAAGCCGCAAAGTCAAGTAGAAAACATCATTTTTCAGGCCTTTTGTTGTCTATGGGCTTGCTGAGACTTTGGCCAATGCATCAAGGAGAGAAGATGAAAAGATAATTAAGGCCGAAGGGAAGGGGAGGACTCTGATTATATGAAGGGCATATGGCTGGTGTACTAAGGGGATGAAGAGATTTAGTCAAGGATGCTGGGACATGGCTGGAGGCACTCTTGCTCCCAGATAAGGCCAGAAAATTAGCAGTCCATGGAGGCAATTTTATATACAGTCATTCTTTCTGCACTGGCTCCCGGTGGTCTTCCGGGTGCGCTTCAAGGTTTTGGTTACCACCTTAAAGCGCTCTATGGCTTAGGACCTGGTTATTTACGGGACCGCCTACTACCACCAATAGCCTCCCACGGCCAGTACGCTCTCATAGAGAGGGACTCCTCCGGGTGCCGTCAGCCAAACAGTGTCGACTGGCGGCCCCTAGGGGGAGAGTCTTCTCTGTGGGGGCACCTACCATCTGGAATGAGCTCCCCCCGGAGATACAGAGGATCCCGGATCTGCGCTCCTTCCACCGTGCTGTGAAGACCTTTTTATTCCATCAGGCGGGCTTGGCCTAATTTCTTCCCTTTTTAAATATGTAAATTTTAATCTGTTTTTAAATTATTGGGGTGTTTTAATCTGTCTGGGTCAAAATGATTTAATTTGATTTTATCTGGTTTTTAAATTTTTTGTATTTATGTATTTTATTGTTGGCTGTTCACCACCCTGAGTCCTTCGGGAGTAGGGCGGTATACAAATCAAATAAACCTAAACCTAAACCTAAACCTAAACCTAAACCTAAACCTTAGAAAGGTAAGGAGGGGAAGGTTATATGTATTGCTGAATAAATTCGCCTCAACTCAATTGAGGAAGGAAGGAAGGAAGGAAAGACAGAAAGAAAGAGAGAGAGAGAGAGAGAGAGAGAGAGAGAGAGAGAGAGAGAGAGAAAGAAAGAAAGAAAAAAAGAAAGAAAGAAAGAAAGAAAGAAAGAAAGAAAGAAAGAAAGAAAGAAAGAAAGAGTAAGTAAGTAGAAAGATAGAAAGAAAAGCAAGGAAAGAAGGAAGGAAGGAAGGAAGGAAGGAAGGAAGGAAGGAAGGAAGGACAGACAGAAAGAGAGAGAGAGAGAGAAAGAAAAAGTAAGTAAGTAGAAAGAAAGAAAAGCAAGGAAAGAAAGAAGGAAGGAAGGAAGGAAGGAAGGAGGAAGGAAGGAAGGAAGGAAGGAAGGAAGGAAGGAAGGAAGGAAGGAAGGAAGGAAGGAAGGAAGGAAGGAAATTTTCATTACCTTTCTATATTTTTGTCCGATTTAATGTGTATAACTGTTATTTCCAATAACTAGGTGGCTCAGCATGCCACCTAGTGTAAAAATCATTAAGGCATGAAATTATTAACAGTAAGGAGCTTTTCCCCATAAGCTGTACTTGTTTTGATGCATCAGTAGTCAGGCCAAGAAGTTTTTCCTAGGTTCTGGGTTCTCTCGATTACTAATGCAAAAGAAGCCCAAAATTAAATTATGCAAAATAATCCAAATGCCACCAATTCATCCGGATATAAAATGCCTAGTATTTAGTTAGGGGAACTCATTCAGAGGTTGTTGTGCTCCAGTGGCACAGTCCCCCCTTTTTTTTATTCAACCAATCCATAATCATAGTCCCAAAATTCAGACTTTCCCACACCTGAACTGAAAAACAAATACGCTAGTACTACCGTACTTAGCTGGAGAAGTTTAGAAGGCCGATAACAGCTATTTATAGAGCACAGGCAAACAATATAATGGTAGGATTTCCATTTGAGCCTCACCCTGCAGAAAATGTGACAAATTTTGTTTTAAATCCCCCCTTTTTAATTGATTTTTAACACTGCCTGCATCTTTCAAATTTTATATACTCCTTTTATGCTTTTATTATTTTATTTGTACACCAGCCAGAATCCCCTTGGGGAGGAGATGGGTACAGGTAGTCCTTAACTTATGACAATTGAGCCCAAAATTTATGTTGCTAAGTTGTTTAGTGAGTCTTGCCTCATTTTAAAATCTTTCTTGCCACAGTTGTTAAGTGAACCGCTGCAGTTGTTAAGTAATAACATGGTTTGTTAACTGAATCTGGCTTTCTCAACAACCTTGCTTGTCAGAAGGTTGCAGAAAATAATCACGTGACCCAGGGGTGGGTTCTAATTTTTTTTTACTACCGGTTCTGTGGGCGTGGCTTATTTTGTGGGCGTGGCTTGGTGGGGGGGTAATGTGACTGGGTGGGTGTAGCCAACTTTTTTTTTTTTTTTTACTTTTAAAAGCATTTTTTCTACAACTTTAAGAGATTGCAGAAAACAATGCTTTGAAAAGCCTCTGCCAATCTCAGCTGAGCCGCGGGATCATCTGAGGTTTTTTTTTTTTTACTTTTAAAAGCATTTTTTCGGCTGAAGAGATTATAGAAAACAATGCTTTGAAAAGCCTCTGCCGATCAGGCAACTCAGCTGGGATCGTCAGAGACTTTTCAAAGCATTTTTTTTTACCACTTCTTCGGCTGAAGCGGTTGCAGAAAAAAATGCTTTGAAAAGCCTCTGATGATCCCAGCTGAGCCGCGCGATCATCAGAGGCTTTTTTTTTTTTACTTTTAAAAGCATTTTTTCAGCCGAAGAGGTTGTAGAAAAAATGCTTTTAAAAGTAAAAAAAAAAAAAAGGCTCTGATGAGGTGGGGTAAGCGAGCAGCAACCAGGCTGGGGACTGGTTTGGGGGCGTGGCCAGCCAATGTTATTACCGGTTCTCCAAACTACTACAAATTTTTATTACCGGTTCTTGCGAACTGGTGCGAACCGGGAGCAACCCACCACTGACGTGACCCCATCATAAATATGAGTCAGTTGCCAAATGTCAATTTTGATCACGTGACCATCAAGGTTGTAACTGTGAAAAACGGTCATCAGTCTCTTTTTTTTCAATGCCGTTGTAACTTGGAACGGTCACTAAACGAACGGTCGAAAATCAAGGACTACCTGCAGTTTTTAAAATCTGATAAACGTCTAAATAAATTGAAAGTTTAAACGAAGGTACTAACTACCAAGATTCCAGGCTTACCAACTCCGAATGCACTTTGAGATGGGCTTGGAGTTTGTACTTATCCGGGGTAGAATAATCGCAGTCTTCGGTGGGACATTTCAGCAAAATGTTGCTATGCTTCTGGATCACATGGCGCTTAAGACAGTTTTTGGTGATGGAGGAGTAGCTGCACTGAGAGCAGTAATGAAGATGCTCTCGTGTGTGCGTGCGGACGTGCATGTCGTAATGCACCTGGTACCAAAACAACTTGCCTGAAAACAAGACAGAGAAACATTAATAAGTAGATGACTTATCTACTTATAAGTAGGTAAGTTCCCACAATTTGGTAACCTTGTTCAATCATAAGGCTGATGTGTTGCAGGAACACCAAAAAAACATTATCAGGCTCCAGTCTATTAATGCACACAGAGTGAATTAGCCCTGAACCAGAGGTGAAATGCTCCCGGTTCGGACCAGATCACGTGATCCGGCAGCGATGGAGGCGGGTGGTTCGGAGAACCGGTAGCAAAAATCCCTGCCCCCACCCCACATTGCCCAGCTGAGCCTCACAATCATCAGAGGCTTTTTTTTTAATTTTTAAAAGCATTTTTTCTACAACCTCTTCAGCCGAAATAATACTTTTAAATTTTTTTTAAAAAAGCCTCTGATGATCGCGTGGCTCAGCTGGGATTATCAGAGGCTTTTAAAAGCATTTTTTCAACAACCTCTTCAGCCAAAGAGGTTATAGAAAAAATGTTTTTAAAAGGAAAAAAAGCCTCTGCTGATCAGGCAAGTCAGCTGGGATCATCAGAGGCTTTAAAAGCATTTTTTTAACAACCTCTTCAGCCACTCAATTTATATTACCGTCCCCCACCAAGCCATGCCCACAGAACCGGTAGTAACAAATTTTACATTTCACCACTGCCCTGAACAAATCTAAATTGGTTAAACGAATGCAGTCTAATCCTGTCATGAAAATACCTAATCCGATCGAATTGAACCCATTTTGGCATATCTAGTCACCCCGCACTTCCCCCAAAAATTTTTTGGAGTGGCTTGAAAAAAACAGGTCATGACTGAAGTCTGATAGCATAGAACATACCTCCCAAATACTGACTGATTATAGTGGCCAAATCATGATAGTGCTGCAATTTTGGACGATGAGAAAGGGGGCAGTGATGATGTGAAGACTTGCCAGGACTCCCTTAATAACAGAATAACAAGAGTTGGAAGGGACCTTGGAGGTCTTCTAGTCCAACCCCTTGCTTAGGCAGGAAACCCTACATCACTTCAGACAAATGGTTATCCAACCTCTTCTCCATAACTTCCAGTGTTGGAGCATTCGGAACTTCTGGAGGCAAGTTGCTCCACTGATTAATTGTTCTCACTGTCAGGAAATTTCTCCTTAGTTCCAGGTTGCTTCTCTCCTTGATTAGTTTCCACCCATTGCTTCTTGTCCTGCCTTCAGGTACTTTGGAGAATAGCTTGATCCCTTCTTCTTTGTGGCAGCCCCTCACATATTGGAAGATGGCTATCATGTCACTCCTAGTCCTTCTTATGGGATAACAGGGTTTTTCAGAGAAAAGGGACTTTGGGATCCCCCCCAAAATAGGGAGATGTTCTACCAGAAGTATTGATAAGCCGATTTGGTTTGGATAGCAGCTGTACTAAGTTAACATGTTGTGAGAACACAACCATTAAGGGTGCTCTATTGGAAGCAAAGCCAAAAAACAAAACAAAAAACACCTCCTTTTAAATATACTTTTTCTCCAGTAAATGAATTTAAAAGACTTGATGAAATGGATTTAATTATTTCCAGAGAGACAGGAACCTCATCTGGACATAGTTAACTGGCATTCCTCTGCCAATTGTGTCCCTAAAGAGAAACATTTCTAAAAGGTATTCTGCTAATTGAGCTGTTCTTAATGCACAGGGTTGTTATCAAATGCCATTTTCAGAAAGCACCTGCATTAGGGAGCCTTATTAGTGTATCAGGAGATCAGGAGATGGCTACCTAGGGAGGCATACTTTAGGAGAAAGCATTTTTGCTATAACAGCTGCAGGAAGCATGGAGTTTAGTTGGCTCGGATTTAAATTAAGAGGGGAATTGATAAAGTAATATGCAGGACTCATGGTGAGATGTTAAAGAATGGGAACAAAACATGGTTTCAACAGAAGGGAATATTTATAGCTCATGGTTGAATTGTGGAGTCCTTGGTGCTCTCTTAGCTTGGTTCTTTTTCTTGCAGACATCAAGTAAATAATCAACCAACCAACTCAGAAAGCACCAAGGATCCCACAAAACAGGGTTTATTATTGAAGAAACTGAGATGATGTGAAAGTGCAGGTCTTCAGTAGCAAGTTGGAAGTTCAAAACAGGCAAGCAATGCTAATAACAAGGCCAGCAAGATTTTGGGGTTAACATAGGTTTAATATTAAGGCTGGACCTCTGTAGCTTCCATTTCTTAGATAGCTTATTTACCACAAAGGAGAAGCACAAATTCCCAAGGGTAAAATGTTGTCTTCTTCAATCAAAACAAAGAACAGCTTGGGTTCTCTAGCTGACAGTTAATGCCAGTTATAGATAAGCCGTCACTGCTAGTGCACTGGAATAGGATAATGCTCAAGAGTTTAGGAATCAAGAGCCCAACTTTTAATTCCTTGGTTGGTTGAATGGTGGTCTTTGCAGTCTCTTGAAACGGTCTTCTGCAGTCGCGACATAAGCCTAAGATTGAAAATCAGGCTTGTCAGATGCTACATCTTTTCTATCCTGCTCTACGGAGTGGAGAGTTGTCTCGGACAGAAAGCCACTTGAAGAAACTAGAAGCATTTGAAATTGGATTTACAGGCAGCTGTTATGTATAAGTTGGGTGGACAAAATCAGAAATGAGGAGGTGATAAGCCACCTGGGAAAGCCAAGGGAAATCATCAAAACCATAAAAAAGCGAAAGTTAGAATATTTTGGACACCCAGAAAAAATATGGTATACTTCACTTAATCCTCCAAGGAAAGATTGAAGGCAAATGAAATCCAGGCAGAAGAAGAACATCATGGCTTCAAAATCTAAGGGACTGGTTTGAACAAAACTCAACAGCATTTTTTCGTGTGGCTGTTGATAAAAATAGGATCACCAACATGATCGCCAACGTCCAATGACAAATATGGCACAAGAAGAAGAGGAATGGAGTAGTAGTCCCTTATCCTTTCTCAATGAGGCATTCATTATCTGCTGACTCTACCATTCTCTTCCATTCTGTCTCACCAAATCCGCCACTGAGCGCAACAGAAGAGAGATACTTACTCCTTCCCAGTACATTTAACTCTCTTCTTACCCACTTTGTATTCTTTTATGCCAGGGGTCTCCAAACTCCCAAAACATGAAAAACTAAGAAGTGGCAAAGAGATTAATGGGGTTTATAAACAAATGCTCCAAAAGATCTTATTGCATGGCTTAAAATGGGTCTCCAAACATGGCATCTTTAAGACTTGTGGACTTCAACTCCCAGAATTCCTCAGACAGCACTGAGCCCAACAGAAGTGTTTGAGCTGCTAGTACTGCTTCTATTCCTCTATTCCAAGCTCAGAGGGTACCAAGGCTTTTTGTCTAATCAGGTCTGCTGCTTCTTTACCTATCTGATGTGTCCTGCTCAGTGGTGGGATGCTGCCAGTTTAACAACCGGTTCGGTGATTGCGCGCTTTGCACGCGTGAGCAGTTTTACAAATACTAAACTTCTGTGTTACTGTGGGAGTAACACAGCTGAGGCGTGGCAATCTGCTCTGCCGCACCAATCAGCTGAGAAGGTAAAGTTAAGTAAAGCAGGTGGACCGACCTGATCATCGGACCAAACTGGTTCACTCTCAGCTGAATGTTGAAGCTAACAGTTCGCCCGAACCGGTCTAAACCGGTAGAATCCCACCCCTGGTCCTGCTCCTGCTTTTGGATCCTTGTTGCAGACTCCACATCATCACCTTTTACTTAAGATAGGACTAGGAACAGCCTCAAGGTTTTAAATCCCAGATCCCTCTCCAGGTTCCTCTCACAGGGCAGATGATCTCATTAAAGGAGGAGTCAAATCCTGAACTCCGCTTCTTCAAGAGAGCTACACAATAATTAATTTCAGAAGGATAGCAACACTCCTTCCTTGGGTGGCCTTAAGAAACCCGATCCTCAATTCTATTGTTCTGGTGTTTACTCTGGAAACAAACTTCTGCTATTTGTGGGCCTACATGAAAACAAGCCATCAACATCCTGCTCACCACAATATTCACATTCCAAGTCTCCGTAGACCTTTCTGATCTTCTCACACAAGGCTGTATTCATTTGTTGTTTTTGCAGGTTGTCCAAAATCTGCATAAAGGCTGCAGCTCCAGTTTGATCCTCTGAAGGTTGAGGAAAAGACTCTGAATTCTGATGAGACTCTACACTGGGTTCTAGAAGGGGAAGGGAACTCGGGGACTCCGTCTTTTCAAGAGTTGAGTTGTCGACTTCCTGATGATTAAGACAAACAGTCTGACTCTCTTGATCAGTATCAGGAACACTCTCTGGTTCTTTCTGGTTTAAACTGGAGTTTTCATCTCCCAAAAGCTGTTCAACTTCACAGGGGACGTTCACCGAAGAGTCAAGTGGCAGCTGCTCTTTGGCCAAACAGGCCTTTTCTCCGTCTGAATCTGGCGAAGTGTTCTTCTGTAAAAAGCTATCTGAAGCATTGACCAAGCTAACATGTGGGGACAGCAATTCAGTTAGTGGCTCACAAATTGGATCCGGTGCATTTGCTGCTGGTGGGCTTTCAAAATCCAAAAGGAGAGCGGGAGATGTTCCCAAACTCTCCGCAGGGTTATTATTTTCATGGCTTCCCTCGGTGGCATTTCCGTCTCCCAGGCAAACAGACTTTACGACACAGAGTGCTTTGGAGTTTAAAAGTGACAGTTCAGCAGCGGTCTGGGACAATTCCTCTCCGAGGGCTTCCTGCTGGATGTCTCCTCCAGGTTCCAGCAGACAAAAGCTCTGATTGATGGAATTATTAAAAACGGATGTCTCGGGCAATTCCCCATGTGCGTCTTTGATATGCAAGCGGAGCCTGACGGAGCTGACAAATTTCTTTGAGCACTCGCTGCAAATGTACACAAAAGGGTGCTTGCGGACGTGGAGCTCCAGAGCTTGGTACTTGGTGGCTCCATGGCCACAGAGCTCGCAAGCAAAGGGCCTCTGATCCCCGTGGACCAGCATATGCCTGTCACGATCCAGTTCGTTTTTGAACTTGCGTTCGCAGATTTGACAGTCGTACAAAAGCTGTCTCTTGCCTTCCCGAGTCATCAAGCGGAGCTGGTCAAAGACATTCTTCACCTTTTTGTCCTGCAAGTCATGGGCTTCCTTGATATGCTTGATCAGGTTTTTGACATCCGAGTATTTTTTCTTGCAGAAGCGGCAATGCTGCTTGATCTTCTTGTGGACTCTCTCCACGTGGACTTTAAGGTGGCCTTTGCTCAGGCAGGTGAAGGGGCAGTAATCGCAGGAGAACTTCTCTCCCGTGTGCTTCCGCAGGTGGACGTTCAGGTTGGCTTTGATGGCGCTGGCGTAGTTGCAGAAGGAGCACTTGTAGGGCTTCTCGTTGGTATGGATCCTCAGGTGGGCCTGGAGGGAGTGCTTGAATTTGAACACCTTGTTGCAATACTCGCAGGTGAAAATTTTTAGCTGAGTGGCTCCCAACCTAAGGAGAAAAAGAATCAAGTCATAAAATCACAAAAGCAGACACGAGAATAAGAGCCATTCAGACAGACCAGGTTAGTCTTGAGGACTACTTCTAAAGAGCTCCTCATTAGCAATCAACATTGAAATACCAATAGAATTTCAGGCTTAGATACTGCCCCACACAGTGTTTTATAGCACACCATTTTGTATACCGTATTTTTCAGAGGATAAGATGCTGCAGAGTATAAGACGCACCATAGTTTTGGGGGAAGAAAATAAGAAAAAAAAATCTGCCTCTGCCTACCAGCATCCATCCGTATTCATCTGGCTAGCGTCCTGTCAGTGTGTGATACTGTTTGGAAACTGAAACAGTATTTGCTGTGTGAGCAACAAGGAAGGAGACAGCAAGGAGCCTGGGAGTGGCTTAGGTCAATTGTTCTAAAGCTACATGATGTGCTGATTTCTGAAACTAAAACTGAAACTGAAACTCCTCTCCTCTGCTTGGGTTTTGCTTGCTGCTGAAAACTCTGACAGTCCTTGCAGCAAATAGCGAACAACCAGGTCAGCTTCAGCACATTATTGCAGCCTGATTCAGCATGAGCACCTGATTGGTGGGTGGATCGGCCTACCGGAATACCCCCAATCAGCTGTTCCAGGCTGTAGGGATTGCCATAGAACATCTCCTCCTCCGTGCCTCATGTTTTTGGCTACATTCAGTGTATAAGACACACCCAAATTTTCACCCTCTTTTAGGGAGGGGAAAAGTGCATCTTATACTCTGAAAAATATGGTACATCATTAGCTAAATAGGGAAAAACCAGCAATGCAATGTTCCAAATACCAGCTTTCTCATGTGCTAATTGCTATGTAGCTTCTATTAAGAAAGATAGCTTTCTCCGAATGAGGAAACATCCTTAGCATGAATTAAAATTCCTGGAATTTTAAAAAGATGCGTATAATACATTTATAATATATCAACATAGGTCTCCCAAGCATCTTTCCAAAAATGCCATAATTGCTCTTTCCCAGTAATTTAAGTTAGAGAATATTTCTGCCCAGAGGGCTACCCCATACTTAGATTTGTAAATGAAGATTACCTGCTTGATTTCATTGGTTGCTCATAAGGAGTTTGCTGAATGGCATATTCCTGATAACCTCTTCGCTGAGATGAGTCTGACACAGAGGTTTCTGAGTTGACGGGCTGCTCATTTTTGGGAGAAGCTGCTTCCACAGGAACGATCTTTGTGGCACCTGCAGCAAAAGACAGAAATGCAATTCATCTAAAAGCCTCTAAAATACTGTACAGGATAAGCAGTATACAGGTAGTCCTCAATTTACAACTATTTGTTTAGTGACCATTTGAAATTACAGCAGTGCTGAAAAAAGCAACTTATGAATAGTTCTCACAGTTCTGACCGTTGCAGCATCCCCGTGGTCACATGATCTGAATTTTGATCATAAGGCATTTTCACAAGGCATTTTATTGGTCTGGGCTCAAGCCTTGTGTATCTGATTGTTGTCTTGGTAATGTGCATGCACATTTTGGACGCTCGGTTCGGAAAAGGTTAGCCATTCCTGCTCTATACCATTTCTGTGGCCTCTCTATTCATCATAAACAATATTTTTGAAAGTTACACTTGTAGCATTCTAGGCTGCCAAGCTACACACCAGCTTCTGATAATAAACTCAAGATATTTATTGCAGTAGTATATCTTACAACAAAGCATACTAAAGCTCAAAGCTTACTTTAGAAAAAGAGCCTGAAGACACAAATCTCAAGATTGTCAAAATGCAAGCACAGTCCATTTCCAGTCCAAGATTTCCAGCAATCAAGAAGCATCCAGTCAGAGCCATAAGGAGGAAATTTGAACATTTTTTTTGTCATCAGAAGCCAGTTACAAAAGTTACATCTCTTTTGTAACTGGACATCAGCTTGACCAATACGTTGAGTGACATTTTTTTTTTCTTTCAAGAAGACAAGTGAGTCTCCTGAAGAACACTCTCTTTAGCTAATTCCTTTCAGGTACGAAAAACCAGTCCCATACGTGAAGAGTTCAAATGACCTACCGTATTTTTCAGAGTATAAGACGCACCTTTTTCACCCAAAAAAGAGGGTGAAAATCTGGGTGCGTCTTATACTCTGAATATACTCAGCCTCTCAAATGGAGGTTTCAGAGGCTGAAAAAAGCCTCTGAAACGAAGTTTCAGGAAAAAAAAGCATCTGAAACGGAGCTTCAGAAAAAAAGCCTCTGAAACGGAGCTTCAGAAAAAAAGCCTCCGAAACGGAGCTTCAGAAAAAAAGCCTCTGAAATGGAGCTTTAGAAAAAAAGCCTCTGAAATGGAGGTTTCAGAGGCTGAAAAAGCAAAGTGCAGAGCTCACAACCAACGAACCTGTTGCTAAAATTCACCTCTGGGAACAGCTGATTGGGGATATTCCAGGCGGCTTATCCATCCGCCAATCAGCTTTTTTCTTATTTTCCTCCCCCAAAACTACGGTATGTCTTATAGTCCGGTGTGTCTTATAGTCTGAAAAATACGGTACTTTATTGCTCAATGCCTGGCAGTTTGTACCTGGGCAAGACTAGATAAGGTTCACCAGCATTCAAGGGGAGGTTCAGACCTTGTCCTCTTTTGCCTATGTAATGATTCCAGACTAAGTCCCAGCTTCACTCCTCCACCAGCTCAGCCAACATCTCCATATATAAACTGAGGCTCAAAGTGGTCAACTCTTCAGCTTCTGAATCTGAATATGTAGACTGATCCCTAACACTCCCCTACAAGTAGCACTACTCTGAACCTAGAAGCAAATCTAACCTAGATAGAAGGAAGAGACAATCTTGAGGACATCTGGTAGTAAGAAATGACAAGCCAAGGAACGATTAAATCAGGGGTGAAATGCTCCCGGTTTGGACCGGCTCGGACGAGTAGGTAGCAATGGCGGCGGGCAGTTCGGAGAACTGGTAGCAAAAGTCCCTGCCCCCACCCCGCATGCCCAGCTGAGCCGCACGATCATCAGAGCCTTTTTTTTCTTTTAAATGGCTCTTGACGATCCAAGCTCTGACGATCCCAGCTGAGTTGCCTGCTAATCAGGCAACTCAACTTGGATCACCAGAGCCATGTAAAAGGAAAAAATTTTTTTTTTCTTTTAAATGGCTCTGACCATCCAAGCTCTGACCACCCCAGCTGAGTTGCCTGCTAATCGGTAGCAAAAATCTGTCCCCCTCCCCCCCTCAGCTTGCTTACCTTAGCTGCTGGTCGCAACGCCTTGCTGTAATCCCTGCAATCCATTGCATCAGCAAGCAACTGAATCTCCCTGCCTGCAATCAAGCAGGCAGGGAGTTGTGGACTTCAACTCCCAGAATTCCTCAGCCAGCAAAGCAAAGCTGGCTGAGGAATTCTGGGAGTTGAAGTCTACAAGTCTTAAAGTTGCCAAGGTTGGAGACCCCTGTTCTATTGGGTAAGTTTTTTTCCCCCTTTGGAGCTTTAAAAAATAGTTAATTGGGGTTTTTTTTAGTTGTTCTTTTTTTAGACCTAGCCCTTTAAAATTTAGAAAGTTTTAAATTTAGTTGCTTTTATATAAAAATAAAAATAAAATAAAATAAAATATTTGTGCAGCTTTCTGAGATTTAGTGTTTCTGTAGTGTTTCACTCTAACTACACAAACACACAAAATCTCACAAAGCTGTATGTGGAATTGTGTGTGTGTAAAGTGTGAAAGTTGGTTTTTTTGGGCTTTTTGTGGCTGTGTGAGGTTCCTGCTTGTTGCAGGGGCCATTTTGGGTCTAGCACAGCTGCTTTTACATTGTGGGTGAGCCAGTTGTGCTGTGTTGTGTTTTGTAGGTTAAAAAAGGGCAAAGAAGTGACATTGACTTGGCCACGCCCACCTGACCAATAAGCCACGCCCTCCCAGTCACCTTACCACAAGCCCTGCCCACTAATTAAGCCCCGCCCACAGAACCGGTAGCAAAAAATTTTAGATTTCACCCCTGGATTAAATGTTGCTTCTTCTCATCCATTCATTCACCATTATTTATTTATTTTTTGCTAATTTCCCATCTCAGTATTATCACCCAAATTCTGAAATATCCCTCTGCTGAGTTTTAGCTCAGCTCTAACAACTTATGTTAGTTAATGAGCAACTTTTTGTTTTTTGTTGTTAAAGAATAACACCACTTTTGTGCGGCAGTAGATTAACAATCTTGAAATGTGAACAATATGGCTTCATATTTTAATTTCAACACGAGAGCTTATCTACAAAGGCCACGGGGAAAAAACAGAGCAAAGAGAAATGAGTAGCAAACAATTAAGAAGACAACATGAGAAAAACCTGGAAAAAAAGAGATAAAGCTAAAAGCTGACATTTAGAACCGAATAGAAAGCTGTTTGATAAACAATAATGAATGCTTTTCCCCCCCTGTAGCTCATCTCATTTATTCCTTTATTGCCCAACAACTAGTTTTACTCATACTTATTTAGAGAAATAACATACATTTAAGTGTTCAATCTTAAAAATGGAGTATGGAGGAAATATGGAGAATGGTCCTTTCTTTTGTTAACACTTTTCTCTTTAAAGATTTGAAAAGCACCAATTTTTTTAAAAGCAGTCCAGGTAGTTCTCAGCTTACAACAGCTTATTTAATGACCGTTAAAAATTACAACAGCAACAGGAAAAGTGACTTATGATTGTTTTTTTTCACACTTATGATTGTTACAACTTCCCCATGGTCACATGATCAAAAGTCAGACGTGTGGCAACTGGCATGCATGTATGATGATTTACAATGTCCCAGGGTCATGAGAACTCCTTTTGTGACCTTCTGTCAAGCAAAAGTCAATGGGGAAGCCAGATTCACTTTACAACTGTGTGCTATTAATAATGGAAGTGATTCACTTAACAAACTGTGGCAAGAAAGGTTGTACAATGGGGCAGAACTCAATAAAAGTCTCACTTGACAACAAACATTTTGAGCTCAGTTGTGGTTATAAATCAAGGACTATGTATATCTGGCTGTTCTGCCCCAGCTATGGACCCCAAAGAACACAGCACACACAAAGTTTGTACAAAACTTAAATTTACTAAAATAACTCAGTCTTTTCCAAACAAAGGCTGTTAATAAACTTCCTTACCAGCCTACAAGAAAACAAAGATAAAGTAATCACTATCTTACTAAAGTTGGCAGAAAGCCCAAAAGCAATTTGCAGAGACTCCAGACGCGAAGTAGAGTGAACTAAAGTTGTTCCCTACAATTTGCTTCAGTCGGCGTTCCTCCTTAAATAGGCTAAGAGAGTGGCCAATTATCCCCAAGCCTTACTCTCGAGGAGACCTCCCTCTTGAGGAGCCACTCCTGCCTTTTGGCTGCTCTGCGCGCCCATGCATCGAGAAGAGGCTCCTCCTCTTCATCCTCTTCACTTAAAGAAGCTTCTGGAGGTTCTGAAGGCCCTGGCTGAATCCCTGCCTCTGGCACCACATCTTCTCCAGCCTCCTCACTGTCTGACTCGAGTGCCAGCTGCACAGGCTGCTGGCGCAGCACCACACCAGCCTCCTCACTGTCAGAATCAGCTACAATCCACACAGGCCGCTGACGGGCCACAACATCTGGCTGGTTGGAGAGAAAGAAGCAGCAATGGGATGTTTTTAAGAACAGACTGGACAGCCATTTGTCTGAAATAGTACCCTGTTTCCCCTAAAATAAGACATTCCCTAAAAATATTTAAACGCATGTGCTGCCGGTCCCCACCATTTCCTAAGGTTAGGGAGACAGAGCTGGAAATCAGGTAAGATGGCAAGAGGAACCCCATCTTGCTCCACGTGCCCCAAAGTAATAAGACATCCCCGAAAATAAGGCCAAGTGCTTATTGGGGGTTCAAAAAATATAAGACAGAGTCTTATTTTCGGGGAAACATGGTATAGAGCTTCCTGCCTGAGCAGGTGGTTGGACTAGAACTCCAAGGTCCCTTCCAACACTGTTATTCTGTAAGGACTAGTTAAAAGGGAATGTGAGTCTGGTAAAAAGGAATAGCTTTTGTTCCAGAGATGCATCGATCGTTAGATGTAGAAGAAAACAGACAGTGGAATACATACTGTAGATGCAGAAATTACAGATGCATGAAATTAAAAGGATTATACACAAGAGAAAAATGTTCCTCTTTGCAACAGGAAGGATGCTGAGGTTGCATTTACAAGATTCAACATAACCAAAAATATTTTCAATGTAAAATCCACGAGAGAAAACGTTTTTCTGCTGTCGTGTTCTTGAAGTTGTTCACTTTTTTTTCTCCCTTTTTTCCAGGTCTCTTTTTTGGAGGATGAACAAGTCAGGTTAACCTACACGCGGGACTGCTAAATAAAAGGTTAAAAGCCTGCAAGCATTGCACTGCCGTACCCCAACATGGGCAAACTTTCAAACTCGCCCAAGGGCGCAACTCAAAGAAGGACCAGCACAACTAAATCGGTTTCACTCATGCGCAACAGCCACAAAGGGCAGATTAGGCAGTGAAGGACAGTACGTATTTACAGATTTGTTACGTATCCACATCTCTTCTTTTGAAGGTGGAGGCCTGACCTGTGTCTTAAATGGGAATTGCTTTTCTGTTCAACATACAGCACTGATGACCTACACTTGTAAAAGGCAAGACAGTACAAGAGTTTCTCTTATATCGGCCAATAGACCAATCCAGTGGTGAAATCCATTTTTTTTTATTACCAGTTCTGTGGGCGTGGCTTGGTGGGCGTGGCAGGGGAAGGATACTGCAAAATCCCCATTCCCTCCCCACTCCTGGGGGATGGATATCAGCAAAATCCCCATTCCCACCCCACTCCAGGGGAAGGATACTGCAAAATCCCCATTCCCTCCCCACTCCTGGGGGAAGGATATTGGAAATTCTCCATTTCTCCCCCAGTCCAGGGGAAGGATACTGCAAAATCCCCATTCCCTCCCCACTCCAGGGGAAGGATACTGCAAAATCTCCATTCCCTCCCCAATCTCGGGGGAAGGATACTGCAAAATCCCCATTCCCTCCCCACTCCTGGGGGACGGATACTGCAAAATCCCCATTCCCTCCCCACTCCAGGGGAAGGATACTGCAAAATACCCATTCCCTCCCCACTCCTGGGGAAGGATATTGGAAATCTCCATTCCCACCCCAGGCCAGGGGAAGGATACTGCAAAATCCCCATTCCCTCCCCACTCCAGGGGAAGGATACTGCAAAATCTCCATTCCCTCCCCACTCCTGGGGGAAGGATATTGCAAAATCTCCATTCCCAGCCCACTCCTGGGGCCAGCCAGAGGTGGCATTTGCCTGTTCCCCAAACTACTCAAAGTTTCCGCTACCAGTTCTCCAGAACCTGTCAGAACCTGCTGGATTTCACCCCTGGAGCAATCGCATAAAATAAATAAAGCTTGTTTTTTCTTTTTCTTCCTGCAATCTAGTGAAGGTCCAGAAAGAGGAAGAGAAAACAGTTACTTAAGCAATGTCTCTATGGGGCTATAACCGGCCTGATGAAAAACATTTCTTGTCCGAAAGTCTGCTTGAAATTGCTGGGGAAAGAAAACAACCACCAAAAAAAGCATCAGTCCAAAAAGTTTGAATCTCACCACTTCACAAAGTCCAAGTGAAGGACGATAACATTTTAATATAGTTTATTGTGAAAAGAGAAAGGAGAAGAAAACTTACAATAGTTGTATGGCCAACACAAAAATATTCAGCCTAGTTTTCATCATTATATGCTGGTTGGGTAACTTTGGGCTAATTGCTCCCTCTCGGGGAGCCTACTTCACAGGGTTGTTGTAGGAAAAATACAACAACCTACTTCACAGGGTTGTTGTAGGAAAAATAGGAGAAGGAAGGAATGCAAGGTCAGACTTGAGTTATTTATAAAGTAATAAAGGTGGGATAAAAGCCTAATAAATAATATATTGAGTATTTGAAATGATATTTATCAATCTTTCCATTGCATCCATGGAATAACAGTTGATTAAAAAGAAGTCCATATCTATACAGGTAATCCTCAACTTATGACCACAATTGAGCCCAACATTTCTGTTGCTAAGCGAAACATTCGTTAAATGAGTTTTGCCCCATTTTATGACCTTTCTTGTTGTATCTATTAAGTGAATCGCTTGCAGTTGTTAAGTTAGTAACAAGGTTGTTAGGTGAATCTGGCTTCTCCATTGATTTTGCTTGTCAGAAGGTCACTAAAGGGGATTATATGACACCCCCAGGACACTGCAACCGTCATAAATATGAGTCAGTTGCCAAACATCTGAATTTTGATCACGTGACCATGGGGAGGCTAAAAGGGTCGTAACTGTGAAAAACGGTCATAAGTCACTTTTTTCGTGCTGTTGTAACTTTGAAGGGTCACTAAATGAGTTGTTGTAAGTCAAGGACTACCGGTAGCAGTCGATTAAAAAGAAGTCCATATCTATCATTCAAATCCAGCGTATTCCATGTACTGGAATAATGTTATTTTGTGCAGTCAAAAGGCAAAATTTGCACAACCCAGAAAAGAAAGGATTTGCTGTAGCGTGAGACTCTCTGTCCTTCCATTCTGGTAAAGATTTAAAGGCCGTTCTGAGACCAGGTCACCCATGTAATTCCTATGCTCTGCGCAATTAACCTAAATGCACATGAGCCCATTAGTGGAACTTAAGTTGATTCTTCTAAGAATTAAAGCTTATGTGGGTCAGAAAACTCTTTCGGGCCCTCAAACCCTTATTATTTTACCGCTCACCCTCGAGCTCCGAGACTCAGCCATCTAGAATTCTGCATTATTTATAGGCAACTAAGTTTACCATCCATAATTTCCATTTTTTTCCCCCCACTTTGCAAGTCTAATGAGCAGAGAAGAAGCGAGCCCCCGTTTCCCAATGATTTGGCAAAATCTTCTAGCTCTTGGGTCAAAAGCCGTATATTTTACACTGAAATGCAACTGTAGGGATGCAGATTCTTTTACATCCATAACTGCGTAGTACGTGAGGGCCTAACTAGATCATCTTGATGGGAAGGGGAAAGAAACGTGTCATCTAATGAGAGCCAGTATGGACTAGTGGTTATAGCACCAGGCTAGAAATTGGAAGGCTGTCAATTATGGTCCCACCTTAGCTAGGAAAGCCATTGGGTGACTTTGGGACAATTATCCTCTCTCTCAGCCCAACCCCCGTCACAGGATTGTTGTTGTGGGGAAAACAGGAGGAGGAATAAAGGTTGGATATGTTTGCTACCTTGAGTTAATTGTAATAATAATAAAGGAAGGAAGGAAGGAAGGAAGGAAGGAAGGAAGGAAGGAAGGAAAAAGGGAAGGAAGGAAGGAGAGGAAGGAAGAGAAGAAAGAAAGAAAGAAAGAAAGAGGGAGGGAGGGAGGGAGGAAAGAATGGGAGGGAAGATAGAGAGAAAAGGAAGGAAGGAAAGGAGGAAGGAAGAGAAAGAGAAAGAAAGAAAGAAAGAAAGAAAGAAAGAAAGAAAGAAAGAAAGAAAGAAAGAAAGAAAGAAAGAAAGAAAGAAAGAAAGAAAGAGGGAGGAAGAGAAAAAAAGTGGGGGGAAAGGAAGGAAGGAAGAGAAAAAGAAAAGAAAGAAAGAAAGAGGGAGGGAGGAAAGAATGTGAGAGAAGATAGAGAAGGAAGGAAGGAAGGAAGGAAGGAAGGAAGGAGAATGGGAGGGAAGATATAGGGAAAAGGAAGGAAGAAAAGAAAGAAAGAAAGAAAGAAAGAAAGAAAGAAAGAAAGAAAGAAAGAAAGAAAGAGGGGGAGGGAGGGAGGGAGGAAAGAATGGGAGGGAAGATAGAGAGAAAAGGAAGGAAGGAAAGGAGGAAGGAAGAGAAAGAGAAAGAAAGAAAGAAAGAGGGAGGGAGAGAAAAAAAAGAAAGTGGGGGGGAAAGGAAGGAAGGAAGAGAAAAAGAAAAGAAAGAAAGAAAGAGGGAGGGAGGAAAGAATGTGAGAGAAGATAGAGAAGGAAGGAAGGAAGGAAGGAAGGAAGGAAGGAAGGAAGGAAGGAAGGAAGGAAGGAAGGAAGGAGAATGGGAGGGAAGATATAGGGAAAAGGAAGGAAGAAAGGAAGAGAAAGAAAGAAAAAAAGAAAGAAAGTGGGAGGGAGGGAGGAAAGAAGGAGAGAATGGGAGGGAAGATAGAGGGAAGAGGAAGGAAGGAAGAAAAGAAAGAAAGAAAGAAAGAAAGAAAGAAAGAAAGAAAGAAAGAAAGAAAGAAAGACAAAAATCCCCCATTCTCCCCACCCCCGCCCAAAATAGTTGTGGTTACCTGGAATTGCTTCGTGGGCTGTCAAAACCACACTTATAATAGGATTCTTAGCTCCTGAGTCGGCTTCTTTTGAGGACAGATTTTTCTCGGTCCTTTGTACCCGCTGCCTCTTGGATGGCTTTTCTCGCTCATCTTCCCTCCTGTTAAGGTCAACATCAGAATCATTACCTAAAAGGGCAAATATCAAAAAAAGAACATAAAGAGAATGATGAGTAGTTTTCTTTCACATTTACCATCCACAGGATGGTGAGGTTCCACCCTTGGCTTTGTTGAAAAAGAAAACATTTGCAAAAGGGAGGCAGAGGTCCACTCTCCTAAGGAGGTCTATCTAATGCAGAGGTGGGCAACCCATGGAAATTTTGTGACCTCTGGACTTCAATTCCCAGGATGCCTGAGCTGAAGTCCATAGGTTATAAAAGTGCCATGGCTGCCCACCCCTGATCTAGCGGCACCAACAAGGGCCTTCTCTGTGGTGGCTCCCTCCCTTGTGGATCATTATCCCTGTGGAGATAAAATTGGCCCCCATGCTGACACCCTTTTCACAAGCCCTGAAGACCTGGCTTTGCCAACGGGCCAGAGAGGGATGGAGCCCATCACATCACACTCTTGTCAGAAGCACCTTGGTGGATTGAAAGGATTAGCTGGTGCCCAGGAGATGCCCAGTTGAGGGCTCCTTTTATGTCCCCGGCGGGAGCTGGAGCGAAGGACAGGAACTCACTCCGCCCTACGGCAGCACTTGGGTCTCGAACACAGGTTCGCTAACCTCCAAACCAGCATCTTAACCATGAGGGCCACCGGACTCCTTATGGAGCCCATCAAACGGCTTAGGTGATTGTTGTAACAATGGGTTACAGGTTATTGCTTTTAATGAAGGTTTTTGTATTGGACTTTTTAAATCCCTGTTGTTCTGACCTAGGCTTCCTTAAAAAGCAGGAAACAGAGTCTTGGTCCCGGCAAAACCTCTGTGAATTCCTTTCGTTCACAGTCAGCAAGGCCTCTCCAAACAGTTTTTCAAAGGAATACTGTATTTTTCGGAGTATAAGGTGCACCGGAGTATAAGACGCACCTACCTTTTTTGGTGAGAAAAAGAAAAGAAATCTCCCTCTGCCTCCCAGCAATTTTGCCTCATTGCAGCAAACCGCAAACAGCCTGCTTTACTTTCATTTTCGTTTTCAGCATAGCTCGATTAGCACAAGGGGAAAAAAATCTGCTCCAGCAATTTACTTCTTTGCAGCAAGCAGCAGAGCCCTGCGCAAAACAGCTGAGAGCAAATCAGCTGAGAGTCGGGAGGCTGATCCAATCAACTTGTGCTAATTAGGCTGTGCTGAAGCTGAAAGGAGCTGTTTTTTCTTGCTGTTGGCTTGCAAGGAGGTAACTGCTGCGAGGCAGAGGTCAAAGGGTGGGGGGCAGTGGGTGGGCGGGGCTACATTCGGTGTATAAGACGCACCTAAATTTTCACCCCCTTTAAGGGGAGAAAAAGGTGCGTCTTATACTCCGAAAAATACGTTATTTATCGACACATTTTATCTTGCTTGGCAAGCTGCCACGTAACTTGTCTCCAAACGCAGTGTAAGGCAAAATTTGGCACAGAGTCTCTTCAAGTCACGAACAGAACTGTCCACTATTGAAACGATCAAACGAACGAATTGTTTCCTGAAAAAGCCCCCTCCCCATTTGCTCCTCTTTTGTTTCCTATGGGAGGGGCCAATTGTCTCCAAGGTGTGGCTTTACTCCCAAGTCGACCCTGCTTTCTTAGTTGTTCTTGTCATCTGGCAGCTCTGCGCATGCGCACACTTGGAGCGGGCTCCAGCTGTTCCTCTGCCTCACTGCTGTCTAGCTCCCTCTCTGCCTCCGACGCAGAGCCCTTGTCCGAGCTTTCCCCAGCCCCCAGGATTGGCCCATGTTCCTCCCCAACCTCCTCACTGTCCAGCTCTGCTGGCCGCCGGTGGGCCACAACACTTGTAAGCTGCCCAGAGTCACTAAGAGCCTGGATAGCTCTGCAGACTAAGCATTGTAATTTAACACCAGCTGTCTGCAATTAAAGTAAGTTCGAGCCAGGCTCAAGGTTGACTCAACCTTCCATCCTTTCTAAGGTAGGTAAATTGAGGACCCAGTTTGTGGGGGCAATAAGCTGACTTCGTATAAAATATACGAAGTATGAAGGCTATTGTAAGCCACCCTGAGTCTCCAGAGAAGGACGGCATATAAATCAAATTAAAAATAAAATTAAAAAAAAGAGTGAGTTGGGTGGCCATAGAAATTTTTATAGATAAATAAATAAACACAAAAGACAAATTACTACAACAAATACAAGAGATGGAAGAAGCCAAAAGCTTCTCAGTACGATGCTTTCATTTTTGATCTGCCTGATCTCTTCCCCTAAATGGTCCTTCTTTGCTTCCCTTCTCCCTAGTCAGGTGCTCGTGCTGAACCTATCCTCAGATCAATAATATCCATTAATTTGTGGAAGGCATTCATTGGCAACATGCAACGGTGTTAAAGCAATTACCCGGTGAAGGATTTCATGGCTTGGTCTTATCATTCCTTTGTTTTAATTCCTTTTTAATTAAGTACTTCTAAGAATGTGACACAAATGGGCCAGAATGGAGAGAGGTAGTTGAATCCTGACATCTCGTGTGCATAATTGGTTATTTGTAGAAGACAGTGAATTATAGAGGTGAAATTCAGTTTTTTTAGGCAAACCAAGGTAAATTTGTAACCGCTGTGCCAACGTAAAGAAATTGGTTTAATTCGACATATGGGACAAATTTATTTGGCAGTGCAGCTCAGAGACAAAATTAGTCAGCAAGTACAGTCTGCCGAGATTTGTGAAGGTGTTGACAACATGATAGTCAGTGCGTGCTTAATCAGTGCGTTTGAAAGGTTTAAAAAAATTGTACAGATTAAACACAAAAGCAAGTGACTTATTTCTCTGTTTGGCTTTATGAAATGACGAGACGCTTCCTTCTTTCAGAGGCAGAAAAGACGTACCTCAGAAATGGATAGTTTACAAACTGAGGACAAGCTATCTCATCAGAAGGGCTGACAATGTAAGAGACCCTTCCCCAAACGACACGGGATTTTCCCAACAACAATATGTTCATAAGCAAACCACAGAGTGGAGATATGTGAGGCTGGAAGAAAAGATCCATCTCCCAGTTGCTGTGGTCTACAGCAGGGGTCTCCAACCTTGGCTGGCTGAGAAATTCTGGGAGTTGAAGTCCATGAGTCTTAAAGTTGCCGAGTTTGGAGGTCCCTGATCTACAGACAGGAGAAATTAAAGCTCAATAATTCACAAGCATTTTGCAACTTTTCTCTCCATTGTTCGTTATTTGGACAAACTTTAGATCTACCAAAAAAAAAAAAAAAATTGTACAGGTAGTCCTCTACTTATGATCAAAATTCAACCCAAAATTTCTGTTGCTGTGCAAAGTCTTTTACAACTCTTCGTGTTGTGGTTGTAAACTGAACAAGTGTCTCGGCTAGTCCACCCAACTGCATTGGAAACAAGCCACCACCAGAACGGAATAAAGCAGTTGCAATTTCTTTAATTAGGTTCGGCACAGCAAACACAGGCAGGAGAAAGGCACAAGCCGGAAACAACGTTTAAAGTTAGCGCTACATGCAATCGCAGTGTAGCGCCTTTTATAAACGCAGCAAGAAATCAATTGGCAATCAAACAGTTAACATTACCCCTCCTTCCCCTAGCTGGCCTGAAGGAGGAGCGCGCCTCTGTTACATCACAAGGCAGCGTCATCTGCATACTCCATGTCCCCCCCGATCTCCGATGAAAGTGTTTGCTTCGTTTTATGCGCGAGTGGTAAAGACTTCTCAAACAGCTGATGACACGCCCCCGGAGAGTCCAGCAGCTCGCCCCCTCCTCATCGTCCTCCCCATTGATGGCAAGACCCAACCGAGGCATGACACAGTGGTTCGCCGTGGGTGTGGTTTTGCCGGTAGTAAAATGGGCCACATGGCCAGTGGTAGGATTCTACCGGTTCAGACCGGTTCGCTTGAATCATTAGCTCCAACTTTCAGCCGTGAGCGAACCAGTTCACTCCGATTTTGAAGTGGGCCCGCCCACCCGCCCCTGCGTTATACTCACCTATATTTCCATTTCCGAGGCCCAGCTGATCGGCGCGGCACAGTGGATTGCTACGCCTCAGCTGTTTAGCGAACCAGTTGTTAAACCGGTAGGATCCCACCCCTGCACAGGATGCTCCAAACATCCATAAATGAAGCTGTGTTGTTGAGCACCCTCCGTTGGGTGGGGGTGACCATGGAGGGGGTGCCGAATGTTGGAACTTTGAATTTAAGTCGCAAATTTCCTTTTCTAGATTCATCGTAACTCGAGAATAATCTATATACAAAGTCAATTTTTAGTAGTAGGTTACAGAATTACAGAATAACAGAGTTGGAAGGGGTCTTGGAAGTCTTCTAGTCCAACTTTCAGCTCAAGCAGGAGACACTATACCATTCCAGATAAGCAGCTGTTCAATCTGTTGTTAAAAAGCTCCCATGATAGAGCGCCTAAAATTTCTCAAGGTAAACAGTTCATCTGTATATATCTGTATATAGTTCATCGGTATATAAATTCAATAAATAATAATAATAATAATAATAATAATAATAATAATAATAATAATAATAATAGTAATAGTAGTAATAGTAATAGTAATAGTAATAGTAATAATAATAATAATAATAATAATAATAATAATAATAATAATAATAATCTGATTAATAGTTCGTACTGTCAGGAAATTTCTCCTTAATTCTAGGTTGGATCTCTCTTTGATAATTTTCCATCCCTTATTTCTTGTCTTGCCCTCTCCTTGCTTTGGAGAACAGATCACCCCCCCCCCCCATCTGTTAAGGGCCCCTCAAATATTGGAAGGCTGCTATTATGTCACTCCTTGTCCTTTTCTTCATTAGGCTGGACATACCTAGTTCCTGCGATCACTCATAAAATGCATCATATGTTTTAGACTCCGGTCCTGTTAGGATATGGTTTGAGCCTAACAAGTTGTCCAGGTTGTCCAAGTTGTGTTCTGTGACTTTAATATGAATATGTATTGTGTGACTTTAAGGCTTTACTGCTGAATCATTGTAATGCTGAGTCATACTGTAATTAGATAATGACTGGTTGTGAGAGTATTTAAGCAAGG